AATTACTGAGAAGATATTGATCCTTAACCGAATAAAAAATCAATTTGCAATAATATGATTAATAATGAATCTGTAATACCGTGTTGATTATAAATGGCAATTATTATTATAATAATCAAAACCCAGCGCTAAACCTATAAATGGTAAAATTTGCGCATTTCTTAAATTTAGTAATTCATCCATAAACACTGCACATAATTCAAAACTTCCATTTCTCAAATAGAAATATTGTGATTTGATGCATTTTTAAACGATACAAATATCTTTAAAGTTGCTGAGACGGTAATTTACAAACATATCTAAGGAAAAACCAAACCATACCACCGGCAGGAATAGAACCCGCGGTCAGTCTCAAATCTCCAGACCGTCGCGTTAGCCACTGGACCAGCTAGCCACAATAAGATTCGTCCAACTAGGTATATTTCTACACCATAGGAAGGTTAGCATAGGCACCACTGTGACCACAAATTTAAGTTTTTACAGACGAATCTCCAGCTAGCGTGGCCGTGACGAACTCTAGCTCAAGTCCCCTCATGTTAACGGCTTTGAGGGGACTTGAGCTAGAGTTCGTCACGGCCACGCTAGCTGGAGATTCGTCTGTAAAAACTTGCATTTGTAGTCACAGTGGTGCCTATGCTAACCTTCCTATGGTGTAGAAATATACCTAGTTGGACGAATCTTATTGTGGCTAGCTGGTCCAGTGGCTAACGCGACGGTCTGGAGTTTTGAGACTCTCTGACCGCGGGTTCTATCCCCACCCGTGGTATGGTTTGTTTGCAATCGTGTCATTACGATTTCGTGAGTCATATCTAAGGAAGCTGCGAATTATTATTAGCATAATCAAAACGAAGCGCTAAACCTACTAGGGTCATACAACAGGAAGCTGCGGAAGTTTTATATAATTAGAGCATCACCTTTTAGCCTAAAAGTGGCTAAAAGCTCCCGCTTCACACACGGAGGGCCCGGGTTCGATTCCCGGCGGGTGGAAACATTTCGACACGTTTCCTTACACCTGTTGTCCTGTTCACCTAGCAGCAAATAGGTACCTGGGTGTTAGTCGACTGGTGTGGGTCGCATCCTGGGGGACAAGATTAAGGACCCCAATGGAAATAAGTTAGACAGTCCTCGATGACGCACTGACTTTCTTGGGTTATCCTGGGTGGCTAACCCTCCAGGGTTAAAAATCCGAACGAAATCTTATCTTATCTTACACTTTCCTTATATAATGAGTGCCCTTTCAAGGGTCTTTGTTGGTTTGATGCCAATGAAGGGCTCTCGATCTAAGGAACTGGAGGTGACCCGCTCCTTTACATCGAATCCGATTGTCTCCTATTTCCAATCGCTATATAACTACTATATTATTATTATAATCAAAAAGAAGCGCTAAGCCACAAGGGCTATACAGCTATAACTACTACAGGTTTAGCGCTTCCCATGAATAATAATAATTAGCGAATCACTTAGTCATCCAAGGGTTATAAGTTAATTTTAGGTTTGCCTGAAATGCTCTGTATAACCAGGGGTTTTCTAAAAAGTATGCCAATAGTATCAACTATTTCCCTAATAAACTGTATATTGTACTTTGTAGAAATAAAGATTATTATTATTAGTAGTTTTAATATAATAAGAGTGGCAACTCACTTGATGATATCAGCGTGTGTGACCATCCTGGCCTCTATGATGTAGCAAGTCATGTGACCACCACCAAGGTTGTCAGGAGGGTTCCATGAAAGACTGACGCTTGTGTCTGTTACATTGCTCACCACCAGAGGGCCAACAGGGCGACTAGGCTCCACAATGACTCCTATGAACCATTGGGAATGCGTCATATTTTTCTTACAATAAAATTATTTTAAAACAAAAATATTAAACACGAGTAAAATATAATCGGCAAGGTTTGGTAACAGCGTATTTCACTTGTGACGTCATCGCTAATTTCAGCGTCCTTGTTTCACATTTCCTTGATAGTCTAATGAAGCGTTATTACGGACGCATAGAGTTGCTAGGAACCTAGCAGATTTTAATAAAAAATTTCTTTAAATAAAATGTGTGACAAGCAGGTAAAGCAATAATTACAAGACTTAAACCATCAATATTGCTTTAATACTAGTAAATCTTCAAATGCGAGATTTGAAGTGCCTGGTACAAATCAAAATTGGACGATCTTTGAATTATACGTAAAAAGAATCTTGTAATAGTATACATATTTCAGTAAGTGCAAAAGGTAAACGAGCTATGATGAAGTGCACAGTGTAAACAGTTCGCTGCAGTATGTGCTGAGTGAAGGCAGTGGGGCAGACATTTTTGTATGTACATATTGTTTAGAGAAGCGACAGATGTCTTTTCACCACTTAGGATGGTGTGCAAAATGAGCAAATCAAAGAATAAATGAGGTAGTGTTATTATATTTTTTGCTGAGGGAGTATATATAAGAGCCGACAATTAGTGGAAAAAGATAGTTGAACCTCACAACATAAAATGTCTCCTTTTGCTATACGTGGCTTTCTCCAACACTTTTTTTTTTTTTGAATAAGGAACGGTTTTGCAAATCAATTAGGTTATAAAAACAGCAAATAGTTTTGTTTACTTAGCGTGAGGATTGTAAGAACTAAATGAACAAGACAGGGGAGGTGGGGATTAGCTAAAATTAATATTTTTATGTAGATAACTAGAAGTAAGCAGAAATTTCACGCTTCGGTCAAGAAATGAGTTTGAATATAAAAGGTGGTTAAAGTAGCACGTTAAATGGAAAAAAGCAAAGATGGATGGTTTCAGTCAGAATACTAAACACTGGAGGGATAGTGTTGAAATGGTTGGTACGCTTATTTAATATGTATGAAAAAGAGGATAGTACAAAATGTATGTGTTGCTTATGTATAAAGGAAAAGTAGGACAAGTGTGTGAAATATAAATTAATTTTTTTTAGTGTACCATGAAAAGTGTATAACAGAACTGTGGTAATAAATTGGAAAGAAAATATCACAGAAGAAAAAACAGCGGATTTGGAAAGATAACTTTAATAAGGGAAATATTAAGTTTCTTGCGTGTTTATTAGAAAACGACATATGACAAGGAAAGCGTTGTGGTTGTGTATCAAATGTGTGGTGCTGAGTTTGTGAAAGTGTGAAGAATTTTTATAAGTAGTTGGTTAGAACAAGCTGGAACGAAGAGAATTTTTTCAAGTAGAAGGGGAGAAGGAAATATTAATGTGTTAGGAAGTGGTGTGGTCTTAAAATAACACCAACGATACAAAATGGTAATTGTTACAGTTGCTATTTGCAGATGATATTGATATTGAGTTTCAAAATAATCTATAGTCGTTGGAGGACTTTAAAAAAAAAAAAAGAAATTAAGTGAATGAAGAAAATGGAAAGGCGGTAAGACTAAGTATAAGTATTAAAAGACTGGAAGGATCCTAGATTTACATATGCACAGATTGAAGGGAAATAGCATGCATTTAGATACTTAAGAACAAAAGAACACTGCAGCAGGCCTACTGGTACATGCTAGGCACGTCCAATTCAAACGCACTCATGTGCCCTTCCAACCTATATTTAAAACTACCTAAAGTTCTTCCCTCAGTACCGTAACCTGGGACTTTGTTCCACTCATCTACGACTTTATTGCCAAATTTCTCCAGCTTGAATCTACTGCTACGAGTCCTGTCTTGGTCTGATATTTTCAACACGCTATGTGTATCATTTATTTATTCGAACATTTTAATAATTTCTCCTGTAATTCTACGCCTTTACAGGAAGTGAAAATTCAGTGTCTTCAACTAGTTTTCATAGGAAAGGTTTCATCCTTCTTTGTATGTTTTTGAGCACTTTTATGTCCATCCTGTAATATGAAGATGAGAGCTGAGCAGCATATTATTTATATTTCTTGAAATGAAGCCAAGAATTTTATTAATTTTAATGGGAACACTTATGCAGTTGTCTTAAGTGTTTTAAATTGGATGAAGAATTATGTAAATTACAGGATAGATGAAGTAAAGGAAGTTACATATGGTGAGAATGTGAAATATCTCAGAATCAGGCTAGATTATGTGGTAAATGGCGTTGAAACAATCTTTCCAAAATGTACGAATAATGAATGTTGATCAGCTTACTTGACTTTAATGTTCAATCTTTAACGTCGAAAAAGTTTTAATTAAAATTTCTATTTATGAAAAACACTAAACTCTAAACTCTTAAATACAAGTCGAACAAAGTTTCTTATTGTTTTTTACAGTCTTCTCAGAATTCATCCTTACTTTGTAAATGGGCTTAAGATAATTCAGCTATAAAAGAGTATTTTAACTGAAAGGCAAATTACATTAAGCATTTAGTTAACTCTATAAGCTAAATGATTTTATAAATATATTAATTATACTGAATGGAAATTCGGTAGTGGACTTCAATAGCATATACATGTGGGCATCGCTGTACAACGCTTCGCTTTACAGCATTATACCCATTCTTCATTTATTCAGACTTCCTACAGCAAATATATTCGCCACTCACTATAAACTTAGGACGACAATATTTTAGGATAAGTAATGTGTGTAGTATTATTGCATTTTTTAGGACTAGCTCTATTGCTCACTTAATATATGGTAGTGTAAACATGTTATCAGGCTTTTATATGTATTTGAAAGTGAAAAAAAAACTAAGTTTCAATTTACAGCGATTTTAGCTTAGCAGTAACCCGGAACCTAACCTACTGTATAAGCGGGGTCTGCCTGTATACTAGAAATGAAATATTCGTTTGGGGGAGTAAGAGAGCATATTTTATTGCTCCCTGAAGCATTTCAGCTCTTCATTGAATTCGCAATGTTTCAAGAAAGTCGCAAATCATTATTTTATTGGTGCAAAGAAGCCTAAAGCAACTTGCCAGCACAATAATTAAGAGCGATATATTTTTTTGTCATAGGTAGTAAAGGATGCTTCGAAATATTCATGTCACGTCTTGTCTAGTTGCTTTCAGGTGCTTAATATATAGGAATATTTAAGAAAAAGTTTATCTTCTAAACAGTTTATTGCCAATCTACACAACAAGCCTAGAACATTACAGCCAAGTGAGTGGCTATTGGGTCACAGATTGGTTGTATATGAAGTAGTTGCAGCAGCTTCGTAACCTGCCAATAGCCTAACTCACTTGACACTCTTAGTATGCTAGTACTGATTAGCAAACCTTAGCGGTTTTAGCAGTCGGGCCATTAAGATGGAAGTTTCAACAGCAGCAGTTTGGCCACTGTTCTACAAAAACCGCCAAGACTAGCCAACTAGACCAAAATTTTGGGAAAATAAATAAGGTAACACAAAAAAAAAAAACAAGATATTTTCCTTTGCAAGCACTCGGCTGACTTAGGTAAGTTTGCATATCACAGTACATTCACAACAAAACATCTAGGGTCGTACATAATGTGTAGTTGAGTAGATATACTAACATATGAACATTCGCGTTCAGATACTATTATTCATGATTATACATAATCCTGAGTCGCGGTTAGACAATATAATGACGTATTTATACAGTACACAAAAATATGGATTCACTTATCAAGTCGTTGAGTTGTACAGCCACAAGATTTTGGTCCACGGGTCGGAATCTCAGCTTATAAAGGCAGCAGTAACACCTCATAATCATAACATTATAAGCCATAAGAAATATCACAGTTAGAAATCTTCCCGGTCTGTTCTTACTGGGTGCACAGGTAAACATCTCAGGGTAATGATGACGACTCTACTTATAAGACCAGATCGAAAAGTTCCCACTGGGATTTCCAGGACCGAACACCTTATGGCGAACAAGTCTTTATATATGCGGCTTCCGGCATCCAGCATATACGAGGATGCCTGGAGTCGTAACCGTAAACATAGTCGAGAATCACTGAAAAATCTTACGTTCATCAGTAAATAGTAAATACAACTTCAGTGCGCACAAAAAAATGGGTTTTCTCCATAACAGGAATGAGAGTGGATACCAATCCATGACATGTCTATAAACTGGAAGACAGTTCTCCATATTCGGTAACATACATAAAAAAATTAACAAATAAAATTTATATTTTTAACAAGACAGTACTTAACTAAAGGACTCTGATTTATGAATTATAATAAAAATATTTAAGACGGTGTTATTTCTCGTCAAATTTCTCCATGCCACGGTGCCAAACTTTGAAGAAGTATTCGTCCTTATTGAGGAGACGACCGCGAGCATAAGAGTAGATATCAGCGTCCATGCCGGCCTCCCGCATCCATGACAGGGTCTCTGTCGTCGAGTACGACAAAGAGGGGGCGTTGTCGTCCTCAGGCAGTTCCGTGAAGTCTGCACCAAGGACCAAAGTATATTACAGAGGGGTACTTACTCTTTAACCACATAATTAGTAGTCATTAGGAAGGGCAATCACTGCTTTAGTAAATTAGGGCAAAGCCCAATTTTGGAAATCTTTAATTGAGTAGATATAAAACGTGCACAATACGTCCAAATATATTAGATCTGTATATTAATGTTGTTTAGTTTCGCAAACAAAAAAAAAAGTAAAAATACGATTATCTATTACGGAAAATAACGTCCAATTACTTACAACTGAAAGGTAAAATCGGGGTAACTTTATTTAAAACATTTTCATTAATACAAGCAAAGCACATTCACAGGCATGCTGTTACATGTTTATTATATATACAGCACAAACTATCACACTTTAAAGACATAATGTCAATTTCAGTGGGGTTATGAATTTGTTAGATGTAGATGAAAGCAACTGGGCAGACGTGACACTTTCTGTTATTCTCACAATTTTATTTTTGTGGATTAAAACCTGAACCGCAAATAAAGATGGTAGTAACTATGACCTTTATTGCTAGTAGGCTGTAGGGTTAAGAGCAGCAAAGAAAGATATTCTCGCATCTTAGCAATCACTGGACCCAAGTCAGTATTTAGAGGCATTCATGTATCATATTAAACACACCAAGGATTCAATGGTTAATGGTTACAATTAAAAATACCCACTAAATATTAAAGTGGGTAATCGCTTAAAATAATTAAATAATAAAAACATCAAGTAATGTATCAAAATATGGAAGCAAAAGATATGCGACAGTACAGCACTGACATATGCTATATTTACTATACTGAACAATCAGTATTCAAGATGAATGAAGTACGTGTTGAATCGTAAACAAATGACAAAATCTGAAGAGGGAGATGGGGCAAAATCGTGCAAATAAATGATGTTGTATATACTGGGATATACTGTACAGCACACATGTAAGTAGTTAAGTATGAGATAATGGGAATTTATTCACGGGATAAAAAGACTGCAAAGAAAAAAAAAAGAGAAGAATTATTGAAAATAATACAATACTGGAAGGGCGGTGTTGAGGTAAAATTACCCATATGAAAAATAAGAACCATCCTATACAAAATTAATTATTATTATTACAGTACTTGGAGGAAGCGTTTAACTCGTAGGGGCCATACAGCGCTTGCAGAAAGAGAGGCAATCGGGTTTGACCCAACGAAAGGAGGAGGGGGAGAAGTAAAATTATTTGATATTAATTACAAGATCAGTTGTGACGAATCATTATATCCCTACGCGATGGAAGAGGGAAAAGCAGTTGCTGAAATTTTATAAATAAATAAATATGTATATATATATATATATATATATATATATATATATATATATATTATATATTATATATATATAATATATAAACAATATGAAAGTGTAATTGTTGGGCTAATACTGGCGTACTTACCAGCTGGTCTGATAACCTTGACTGGCTCCTCGGTCTCGAGTGGGTTGCTGGTACCCACCTCGTTGCGGGCGAATACACGTACGAAGTACTCATGTTCCTCCTGACAAGTTAATATTGTTAGATGTGTATTTACATTTATATATTATATATATATATATAATATATATATATATATATTATATATATATATATATTATATATATATATATATATATATATAACAAGTCGGCCGTCTCCCACCGAGGCAGGGCGACCCAATAAGAAAGAAAATCCCCAAAAAGAAAATACTTTCATCATTCAACACTTTCACCTCACTCACACATAATCGCTGTTTTTGCAGAGGTGCCAAGAGTGCAACAGCTTAGAAATAGATACGTATAAAAATACACAATATATCCATCCAAACTGCCAATATCTCAAACCCCTCCTTTAGAGTGCAGTCATTGTACTTCCCATTTCCAGGACTCAAGTCCAGCTACATAAAATAACCGGTTTCCTTGAATCCCTTCACTAAATATTACCCTGCTCACACTCCAACAGTTCGTCAGGTCCCAAATACCATTCGTCTCCATTCACTCCTATCTAACACGCTCACGCACGCTTGCTGGAATTCCAAGCCCCTCGCCCACAAAACCTCCTTTACCCCCTCCCTCCAACCTTTTCGAGGACGGCCCCTACCCTGCCTGCCTTCCCCTACAGATTTATACGCTCTCCATGTCATTCTACTTTGATCCATTCTCTCTAAATGACCAAACCACCTCAACAAACCCTCTTCAGCCCTCTAATACCTTTATTACTCCACACCTCCTAATTTTGCAATTTTTCTTTAGAATCTCCCATAAGCACAGTATCATCAGCAAAAAGTAACTGTGTCACTTCCCATTTTGTATTTAATTCCCATAATTTAATCCCACCCCTCTCCCGAACACCCTAGCATTTACTTCTTTTACAACCCCATCTATAAATATATTAAACAACCATGGTGACATTACACATCCCTGTTTAAGACCTACTTTTACCGGGAAATAGTCTCCCTCTCTTCTACACACCCTAATCTGAGCCTCACTACCTATAAAACTCTTTACAGCATTTAGAAAACTCACCCCTATTCCTTTATCTTGCAACATCTGCCACATTGCTTCCCTATCCACTCTTCATATGCCTTAACTAAATCCATAAATGCAATAAAAACTTCCCTACCTTTTGAAAATACTGCTCACATATATGCTTCAATGTAAAAACTTAATCTACACATCCCTACCCACTCTAAACCTCCTTGTCATCCGCAATTCTACATTCTGTCTTACCTCTAATTCTTTCAATAATAACCCTAACGTACACTTTTCCCGGTGTACTCAGTATTTCTTATTCCTCTATAATTTTTAGTCTCTTTTGTCCCCCTTCCCTTTATATAAAGGGACTATTTCACGCTCTCCGCCAATCCCTAGGTACCTTCCCCTCTCTTTATACATTTATTAAACAAAAAATACCAAACCCTTCCAACACTATGTCCCCCCCCCCTTTATTTTAACATTTTGTCATGATCCCGTCAGTTCAGCTGCTTTACCCCCTTCATTCTACGTAATGCCTCACGCACCTCCCCCCCCACTCACATCCTACTCTTTTCATCCCAAGAGATGGTATACCTCCCTGGCCAGTGCATGAATTACCGCCTCCCTTTCTTCGTCGACGTTTAAAAGTTCCTCAAAATATTCTTGCCATCTACCTAAAACCTCCATCTCCCATCTACTAACTCCCCTACTCTGTTTTTAACTGACAAATCCTTTGTTCCCTAGGGTTTTTAACTTGTTTAACTCACCCCCAAATTTTTTTTTTATTTTCATTAAAATTTTTGACAGTTACCTTCCCACTCTATCATCTGCTCTCCTTTTACACTCTCTCACCACTCTTTTACCTTTCTTTTACTCTCCAATACTCTGCTTTCTTATAACACTTCTGCTTTGTAAATACTCTCATAAGCTACCTTTTTCTTTTTTATCACACCCTTTACTTCATCATTCCACCAATCACTCCTCTTTCCTCCTGCACCCACCCGCCTATAACCACAAACTTCTGCCCCACATTCTAATACTGCATTTTTAAAAACTATTCCAACCCTCTTCAACCCCCCCCCCACTATCATACCTGCACCAGCCACCTTTCTGCCAATAGTTGCTTATATTTCACCCGTACTTCCCCTCCCTTAGTTTTACACTTTCACCTCACTGTACTTGTTGTTTTCCATTTTTTCCTTTTTTCCCCTCTACCTCTTACTCTAACTGTAGCTACAACTAGATAATGATCCGATATATCAGTTGCCCCTCTATAAACGTGCACATCCTGGAGCCTACCCATCAACCTTTTATCCACCAATACATAATCTAACAAACACTTTCATTACGTGCTACATCATACCTTTGTATATTTATTTATCTTCTTTTTCATAAAATGTTTTACTTATTACCAAGCCTCTTTCTACATACAGCTCAATTAAAGGCTCCCCATTTACATTTACCCCTGGCACCCTACCCTAAATTTACCTACTACTCCCTACACAACATTTTTACCCACTTTAGCATTAAAATCCCAACCACAATACTCTCACACTTGATTCAAAACTCCCCCCGCATTCACTCAACATTTCCAAATATCTCTCTTTCTCCTCTATACTTCTCTCTTCGCCAGGTGCATATACGCTTACTATAACCCACTTCTCACATCCAACCTTAATTTTACTCCACATAATCCTTGAATTAATACATTTACAGTCCCTCTTTTCCTGCCATAGCTCATCCTTCAACATTATTGCTACTCCTGCTTTAGAAACCCCTGACCTAATCCCATTTATTCCTCTCCACTGAAACTCACCCACCCCTTCACCTTTGTTTCACATCCAGCTTCTTCTCATTCATAACATCCACAATCGTCTCTTTCTTATCATTCGCACAACATCCACGCACATTCAGACTTCCCACTTCGACTATTTTCTTCTTCTTATTCTTTTTAGTAATTATTACTGGAAAAGGGGTTACAAGCCCATTGTTCCCGGCATTTTAGTTGACTTTTACATCACGCATGGCTTACGGAGGAATGATTCTTATTCCACTTCCCCATGGATATAAAAGGAAAAGTAATTAGAACAAGAACTAAGATAAAATCAAAGAAAACTCAGATGAGTGTATATAAATAAACGTGTAGTGTGACCTAAATGTAAGTAGAAGTAGCAAGACGTACCTGTAATCTTGCATATTTATGAGACAGATAAAAGACACCAGCAAACCTACCATCATGTAAAACAATTACAGGCTTTCGTTTTACACTCACTTTGCAGAACGGTAGTACCTCCCTGGGTGGTTGCTGTCTACCAACCTACTTCCTGTAAATATATTACTATATAATATATATAATATATATATATTATATATTATATATAATATATGTGTGTGTGTGTGTGTGTATATATAATATATATTATATATATATAATATATATAATATAAATATATATATATATATATATATATATATATTTATATATATATATATATATAATATATATATATATATATATATATATATATATATATATATATTATATATATACACTTTCACCATCACTCATACATAATCACTGTCTTTGCAGAGGCGCTCATGTACGACAGTTTAGATGCCCCTCCAAACTGCCAATATCCCAAACCCCTCCTTTAAAGTGCATGCATTGTACTTACCATTTCCAGGATTCAAGTCCGGCTAACCGATTTCTCTGAATCCCTTCACAAAATATTACCCTGCTCACACTCCAACAGCTTGCCAGGTCCCAAAAACCATTCGTCTCCATTCACTCCTAACACGCTCACCCACGCTTGCTGGAAGTCCAAGCCCCTCACCCACAAAACCCCCTTTACCCCCCTCTCTCCATATATAAACCCACTGGGGTCTTAAAACGTTTGGGTGAATGGAAGGCATTCAGGTTCGATCCAAGGAAAGGGAGGGCAGATCCAATTCCTTAGATCAAGGGCCCTAAACTGACGCCAGGAAACCTCCCTCCTGGGATTCATTTTACAGATGACATTCCTAGTTGCATTTCAATTATTATACTTTCTATTGTTAAATAACATTCTAAATATGAAAAATAATAATCCTTACTATCACAAATGTACGACTGCTTAGGTATAAATGATGACAATGAGTCCGGCTAATTTTGGGATACTACAGTTAGCTAGGTTTGTTATTAATCTTTATGTATACACGTATTTAAATAATGTACATTTGAGCCGGTAATTATTATTTATATACACAATAAGAGTCAAAGCACAGTCTATTACGTAGCTATCTGGCGGCATACTGACGTCAACTTGTCTTCTCGATATTCACTCACCAGTGGTTGCCAAAACAGGATATTCAAATAATTTATATCCTAAAGACAAACAGTTTAAGAAAAACCAAAATTTATAATTATTACATATATGTGAGGCTACTCACAGATGGTGGGTGTTTATATTTTACATTTACAGTGGAAAAACATATTTAAAATTTTGGTAGGTACAAAATGGCAGCACACTTATATATGCCAGTGTATAGCCCTTATTATATATTTACGGGAAGTGCTAAACTCGTTGGGGGTCATACAATGACATGAATGAGAGGTAATCAGGTTTGATACGAAGCAGGGGAGGACATATCTGATTTGCTTTATCATGCGGGAAAATACTGTATACTTTCCAGAAATACGGTAATTTATAGGTAAATAGAT